TCCAGGCCCCGCTGCGCCGCCACGTGCAGCGGCGTGTCCCCGCCCGCGCCGCTCGCGCCGTGCACCGAGGCGCCGTGCTCCAGCAGCGCCTGCGCGCACCTGCAGAGAGGCCAAGGCCGGTCACTGGGGTCGCGCAGGGGGGCGACATCCCAACGTCCATCGCCAGCCACCCCCAACTCGTCACGCCCTGGCTGCCGGTTACCGGCTTCTGACGCTCTACGGGGCCAGCTGGTTCCCCCAAATAGCAAGGGTGTCCCGAGAGTAAGGACGTAAGTTCAGATCTCCCGTGCCAGGAAGTTCAAACTGAGCTGAAATGGCTATTATTAAAAACACAAGATATAACAAGTGTTGGAGAGGATATGGAGAAAAGGGAACCCTTGTACACTACTGGTGGGAATGCAAACTGGTGCAGTGCAATGGAAAACTATGGAAATTCCTCAAAAAATTAAGAATAGAACTACAGCATGATCTACCTATTCCACTTCTCGGTATTTATCCAAAGAACATGAAAACACTAATTTGAAAAGATCTATGTACCCCTATGTTATTGCGGCATTATTTACAATAGCCAAGACGTGGAAACAACCTGTGTCCACTGATGAATGAATGGATAAAGAAGATGTGGTATATATATACAATGGAATACTACTCAGCCATAAAATGATGAAATCTTGCCATTTGTGACAACATGGATGGACCTTGAAGGTATTATGCTAAGCGAAATAAGTCCGACAGAGAAAGACAAATACCATATGACTTCACTCATATGTGGAAGATTAAAAACAACAACAACAAACAAACAGGGAGAACAGATTGGTGGTTACCAGAAGGGAAAGGGGGTGGGGAAGGGCAAAAGGGGTAAAGGGGGACATTTGTATGATGACATGGAAGCTAGATGGTGAACACGATGTAGGACATACAGAAGTAGAATATAATGATGTACACCTGAAATCTATATTATCAGCCAATGTGACCTCAATAAAAAAAAAGTGAGATTATGGCAAACACGGGGAGTTCGAGGCCCACCAGTTACTAAATGGTGGAAATAGCTAGGAACATTTCCTAAGAATTCATGAGCAGAATTAAAACTTACAAATAATTTGTAACTGGTTGGTGCTACTTTGGAAGGTAATGTGGTTCAAATGACAGTGCTCGAAGCACTAATTACCTGGGCCCTTTGTCACAAGTGGCAGTTGAAGGTCCCTTAGACTAAGGAGGGCTCTTTCTTGGTCAGCATGTACCTCCCCTGTAAACTGCTCAGCTTTGGTGACAGTGTGCGGCAAGGCTTGGTTTGCTTGCACGGAGAGCATCTATCCGTCCCTCAAGGCACCGACACAGACTGGCACTGGGGTGTCCTCAGACAGGGCTGGAAACATGGGTGGAAAACACAACCATGCCTAATTGTGGGACTTCCTTTGCTTCAACCAGATTCTCCTTGAACAGACTAGATTTTGGTTGTATCCAAATTCCTGGGGGTTCTAGGTTCCCATGGGACACTGTGGTCTCCCCCAGAGGTGGGGGAGGGTGCAGCCTCCAGGTCTACCAACCGGATCCGAAGACTGTCCTCTCCTTCAGGCACCAATGCCTCTCCCAGGAGAGCAGCTCCCTCAGAGCCTCTTCCACACCTGGGCGAACTCCAGACGCCTCAACCTAAGCACACACAGGTGGCACACTGCTGACCAGGTAGGCCCAGGCTAGACCGTGGGCCTCGGACACTGGTGGGAAACTCAGTCTGCCCCAGCCTGAAAGTGGAGGGACAGTCACACAGACCCTCCTCCATTCTGCTGGCCCTTGTCATTCGTGGGGACCGAACACCAGGCCAACTTCAGCCACCTGCTTCCGGGTCACCTGCTGGACATTGCCATCAATGTGGTTGCTCCACCTTGGGAGTCTGCACTCCAACATGCTGACTTCAGACCACAGCCTCCGGTCCCTCCAGCCTGCCCACACCTGTTGGTACCCTCCTCATCGCTGCTCTACTGAGACTGCAGTCCTTGACCCCTCATCTCCCTCAGGCTTCCTGGCTTCACTTCCTTCCCTGGGGAGAACTCCAGTCCCTCTCTTCGTGGCATCCTCAGTTCCCTTGAATTGAGAGGACGTGGCCATCTGCCACATCAGACGGCCAGATCGTCGACCTGGAACCCATTCATCATCCACCCTCTCTTCCCCACTTGGCGCTGAGCCGGCTGGAGGAAATGCCATTCCTGGAGAGTGGCCTCCGGTCTCAGCTGGGCCTCAGGGAGCTCAGGCCACATTTTCCGGCGTTGCAGGCCAGCTCCTCATTCCTCGCCCTCTAGTAGCTGCTCCAGATGTCCATCGCCATCCTCAAGCCCCTCCTCTATTTCCACTCTCCTCCCTCTCAGCAGAGTCTGCTCCTACCTCATTCAGAGTGCGGGCTCTCCCAGCAACTGCCGTCCTTCCTGCCTCTGCCAGTGAGTCTGCTCCAACACCTATTAGAATGTTTCTGCAACAATTGTTCTCCTTCCTCCATGAGTCTCAGGGAGGGAATCCCTCTTGAGCATCTTGCCCCAGACGTAGTCCTCTTCTGCTTCCCTGGGGGTCTGCTCTGTAAATTACTTGCTCCTTGCCCTTTCCCTGTCCCCTATCCCCGCTCCCATTTCAACTGGTCACTCAGCTCTGTTGTCTCCATCTCTTGTAATCACTTGAACTGCTTCCTCCCTCCATCCCCACTGTCACCCTCTTTTGTTGAGGCATAAATCATTTCTTGCCTGAGAGTCTCCTAATTCGTCCCCTGTGCCAAGCTAACAAGCTCCATACTACCCAGAAAGAGCCTTTCTGGTGTGAATCAGAGGACATGTGCCAGCCTAAACCCAAATAGCTCCTCCTGCCCGCTGGAGAAAGCCCACACTCCTTTCCCCGGGACACAGGATGCTGCGTGATCCAGCTCCCGTGGACCTCACCAGTTTCATTTCCTGGTGCTCCATCCTGTGTTTCAATCCTACCTGACCAGGTGTGGTTCTCAGAACGCATCCTGCCGTTTCATGCCCCCACGCCTTTGTGCCTGCCGTTCCTTCCTGGGATGCCCTGACTCATGTGATGGTGGACACATTCCTATCTTTCCTTTCTCTTCCTCTCAGACGCCTTCCCAGTGCCACCAGCAGAGGGTCACACCTCTGTGTGTGTGTACCTCGTACATAAGTGCCCGGGCACAGCATTTATCACACCATGTTTCAAATGTTCGATAGACGTTTGACTACTCTCTTAGCCTGCTGGATCCTTGAATGTAGACGTAGGGGTTTGTTTTATCTCTGCTTCTCCGTGCCTTTTGCAAGACTAGCCTACTATGGTATTGCCTAAAAGCATGTGGCACAAACTCATTTTGTTAATGAACATCTTTCAGCTTTCTTTCATGTTGATGCTGTTCTCCTGTTATTTACCTAACTGGGGCTCTGAACGAGATCATCCACTGAGGGTTCCCAGGCTGGAAGCGGCTGCCCTGAAATTCGTTTACATTTCTACCCAGGGACTCGCAGTGTTTTTAATTCTCTCTCTGTATTTCTCCAGCCTCCATATCAGCAGTATCTTGAGAAGTGGTCTGTCTTAGGTGAAAGATCTTTACAAACAAGTACAATTTGATGTGAAATGTCCTTTGGGACAATAACCAGCGAAGAGAGGATGCAAATTGTACAATCAGAGTGCTTCAGATTCGCTTCCTCCTTGCCTCTCGGGGAGGAATTTTGAACAGTGCAGCAGGAGGTTAGAAATCAAGGGTTCCGTCTCATTTTGCCACTGAGCCTGCGTGTGCTCGCAAACAATTACAAAACATTTTCTTCTTCTTTTTTTTTTAAAGCAGCCCAGCCTCTCCAAAGAAGTCCACCGGGAAATAAAATCGGGCCTCTTTTCCACGTCCATAACCTAACTGGCTGATGGCCAGGTTGCTCTTTATGACAAGGATACCTTTCAGAAGAATGAGGACACTGCCCACCCTCTGGAGGGCTGCAGATGCCCTTTTCATTTTTAATGAAGAGCTTCTAATTGGCTAAACCTTGGCACTTTCTTAGAATAGGTAATGAAGTAAGTTGCAGACCACAAGCACGACAAAAAACAACACAACAAATGGACTGGGGCACAGCTCTGCTGGTACACACTGGGCAGTCATTAAAAATGAAGGTGTGGGATTCTGTTTAATGACATGGAGAGCTATTTGCAATGATTATGTGAAAAGATCAGGTTACAAAACAGCACTGAACAGTCCCGTTTTTAAAGAAAGCAGATATGCATAGAAAGAAAGCCTAGAAATATATAGGCCAATGTGTGTTTACCTCTGGGTGATGGGGTGATGGGTGCATTCATTTCCTCTTTGCCTGCCTGTATTTTCAAAATTTCCATAATGAATCAGAGTTACAGTATGAAAAAGGAACAACAACAGAGGTTATTAATAACAAAACCGTCCCCCACCAGCCGCAGCAAGAGCTCATGGATTCTAAGAATGTCAGCTTAGCTTTCCAGGATTCCAGAATGCTCTCAAATTTTCCATTGATCTGTCCAGGCATAGCAGTGATCTCGGAAAGTATGTCTGGCAGTGCCTACGAGAAGGTGAGCCTAGAGGAGAGGGCTGGGGTGGGTGGGAGGTATTCAGCGATAAGCAGGGAAGGGATACCATTCTTGGGGACCTCCTAGACCTGACCTTGTATGTGTCAGTGTCTCCAGTCGAAGAAGAAATGGCCCGGTGGGGAAAGCACCACCAAGCCTTTGCAGGACTGTGTGGCTAACCCAGCCTTGGCTGAGCCCTGTCCTCCGAGGGGAGGTTTTGTGAGGTTTCCCGCTCTCCTGATAGACAGGCAAAAGTCAGGGAGGCCTGGAGCCAGTGTCGAGCAGTCACTGTCAGGAAGCAAGGGTGGGCTCCCATCTGAGGATGTCAGAACGACTTGTTTCTATCTTACAGGGATTAAGGAGACATCGTGTTGTCTGAACAGCCTCTGATATGAAGCAACTCGGGCAAACACTAACCCCCCAATCCCTCATCCCGTCTTTGATAATGACCGTGGTGACAGGCTGTTACAGGGCCCGAGGTTGACACAGAAAAAGTAGCTCGAGCCGAAAGGCAGGAGTTCACAGATATGAGCCCATCAAGGGCT